TGGCGGCCTAGCGGCCTGACGGCCAAAAATAGTTATGTTGCTGTGTGTTTAGTCTATGCTACTTTTATGCAGGCAACGTTCCAAAAAACATACCTACGCGTAAAATTATTGCCAACTATTTGCTTCTTTGTCGAAGACGTCAAGCAATTTGAAAGACAGTCAAACATATATAAAAGACCACCTCTTAATTAAGACGACCATGTGTATATATGTCACTCTGAGACAACCCGCCATTTATTATAAAGAACAAAACAACATCCAAATAAAGGCAACTTGTTTATACTAAGGACATACTCTGGCTCTAACATGGATGTTCCTTGTTTGATTTTAGTTTCAAGCACAAAAAGCGCAAGTACGTATAGCCCGAAAAGACTATTAGAAAAAAGCTTAATTTCATGCATTTATAGTACTATGATCAGAATACAAAAACGGTTGTGGGCAAGAAACCAACCATGGTCCAACTTTGAGTTATCACTGTGTTCCCTGAGACTATCACCACCGGTTTTATTACGACAAGAACCTCCTAAAATGTTTATCACCGTGGGTTGTGTCAGCTTTACTGTGTTCCCTGAGGCTATCACCGCCAGTTTTATTGCGACAAGAACTCCCTTAAAGACCTATCACCGTATGTTGTGCCAGCTTAACTGTTTTCCCCGTGGCTATCACCGCCGGATTTATTGCGATTAAAACCATCTTAAAGGCCTATCACCGAGGGTTTTGTCAGCTTTACTCACTCATTCTCACTTAAGTACGACATTTCATAAATTCTAGAACTAAAAAATGAACTTTCTTGTATATTAAAATTTTATTCCATTCCAAAATTATAAGTATCTCGACATCTTAAGATATAAAATATTATCAGTACAGATGTCCTAGATTTTTCCCTATGACAGGTTTTCTAGATAGAACCAGAAAATAAATTTCGTCATTTTCGAGACACTGGTCCTTAAATTTGTGCATATGGTATGGCGATTTTATTTTGTCTCTTGAAATAAATTTTCTATCATCTATTTATATGAACATCTGGAAATGAGAATCAATCCTTGAACTTACAAAAAATAGATCTTTTTAAAAACAACTCAAGGAAATGCATTTTATATCGAATATGCTTAAATCTCGTTTTCAAAATGAATAACCTTGCAAAATCCACAGATCCATACAATGGACGAGTAAGAAAATGTGAAAATTACTGACGAATTCTTGGAAGTACCTACTTATTTATTATTCAGTTGTCAAATGTGAAATAATTTACGTCATCTCATATATTGACAATTTATTAAGGACTCGTAAATGATTTTTCAATTGTCCCGTAAGTGACCCAGTCTCCAGATGCTATGGATTGACAGAAAGAAATGTAAATACTTTGAATTATATATTTATAATGATTGAAGATTAACTTATATTTATTTATGAAATGGAGCAGATATTCCTTTGGCAAGGTTGGGCTTTATTATCAATATTTAAACAATTGAACTGAAAATAGTAAAAAAATGAGTAAAAGATCGTATAAATGGTCTTAGAAGTTCAACAAAATTGCTAGATTTGCATAAAATCCAAGTTAGTGTTAACGAAAACAATAGTACGAATCAAAACAAACATTTTTTCTCATAGAAATATCACAATCATTGAGAAAATCACTGTTTTATAATTTTCTTTCGCTCTGGTCATTTACGGGACAAGTCAATCTTATTACTATTATCTTATAATTGAACTGCAAAACAATGTACAGTATGTTTGTTTAAACAGATATTAAGTATCTAGATAAACTAAAATATTTTATATCAAGATACATGAAAAGTCATTGTCCATTTAAATGAAACATCTATGAAAATGTTATAAAGTTTTCAGAATGTGTTTAATTAAGGACAAATACTAGTTAGTTCTCACTATATCTGCTCCAAAGAACCTTCTTTCTTACAATTAATACAAGATACTCCAATATTATTGCGTTTACATCGATAAGCGTGGACTCAAAATTTCCTATTACTCGAATGAATATTCCAAAATTAATTTTACCATTTACGGGACAGTTCAGCCAGATACGGGACACGCCTGTTTACATGTTTACTTCATTTTGTGATTGAAGTATAAGTTTTAATGTATTCGTATATGAAAGTAAGTATCCATTGAACTCTATTATAGTCAAAACGTCTCAATACCAATTACAATATCAAAATTATGATTTTAGAAGCTTTATGCAAGTGAAAAACAAACTTCAGATGCGTATGTTTAAAAAACATGGATTTTTCTTTGTTTTCGTGGAAGAATACCATTTCAACAATACCAACGTCCATTAACAAGTTAAAATAATTCAACAAATTTAGCAGAATAAATCACAAGAGAATGTGAAAGACGGTGAGTCCCGTAAATGATAGGCTCGTAAATGTTGAAAATTTCTGTTTGACAAGGGAATTTTATGAGAAATTGTGAAAAGGTTTACACAAATGACAGAATATAAGCAAGACAAATATCCGCTCTAGATATCTGAAGTACTATAACATTGAAATAATTGAAAATATATTGTAAAACGCATGGTATTGATGAGCCTCGTAAATGATTTTCTAAAAATTACGCTTGTAAAATCCAAATTAACGTGAAATCCTTAACAAAATGGTTACACAGATACTCTTAATCTTCATATTTTATGTGAACTATATTACTGTAGTCTTAATATTGCTATTGAAATAACCATTTATAAGTTACCATGTATAATTAACATTGTTTTGCAATTAAGACTCGTAAATGATTTCGACTTTGAAGACAAGCAATTCAAATTTGATTTTGAGAAAATTAATTTTCGTAATATCAAAAACAGTTTTATATGTCAAAATCTGCAATAGAATAACGAAAATAAGCTGTAGTTACTGTTAACCACGACTTTTTGTACGAAGATACGTGCAATGAAACGTGCTTCGATTTAGTTGAAGACATGCTGTTTTTCGTACCCCTTCCTTGCAAAAGCGATTGTCACTAGCAAAATCTAAACCAATAGGCTAGTAAACTTGCGCTCAAATTAAATCTTCGATGCAGTTCCAATTGTTAAAACATTTTACAAGAATGTTCGGGCTTATATATCTCCACAAATTTTCATAGAACATTGAAGACATGGAATGTCGTACTTAAGTGAGAATGAGTGTACTGTGTTCCCCGTGGCTTTCACCGAGGGTTATGTCAGCTGAGGCTATTACCGCCGGTTTTATTGGACAATAACTCCCTTAAAGACCTATCACCGTTTGTTGTGCCAGTTTTACTGTGTTCCCCGTGGCAATCACCGCCAGAGTAATTACGATAAGAACCCTTTTAAAGGCCTCTCACCATGGGTTGTTTAAGCTTTACTAAATTCCCCGCAACTATCACCGCTGGTTTGATTGCTATGAGCGTTTAGCGTTATAGAGCGAAAAAAAGCAAACCGAAGGTCCAAAAACGACCATGACACGCGGAAATTTCTAGGACATATTGCTTGCGTTAGGGGCTTTATGTTTTAAAACGTGCATAGAAGACCCTCCAAATTTGTACAAAATCGAATCCGCATTAAAATCGGACTAATGGTGTTTAAACTGTTGGCTCTGGAAAATGGAGTATTTTCCGTCAATTTGTAATCAGAAAGATCAAATCGACGATCCATAAATGACCATGCCATGCGGAAATATCACGGACACATTTCTTGAGTTAGGGCTTTGGGCTTTATATTGTGCAGAGATGATCCTCCAAATTTGTACAAAATCGAATCCATATTGGAATCAGACAAATGGTGTTTAAACTGTTGGCTCTGGAAAATGGTGTATTTTCCGTCAATTTGTATAAAAATAAAGAACAAACCGACAGTCCAAAAATGACCATGCCATGCGAAAATATCACGGACACATTTCTTGAGTTAGGGCTTTGGGCTTTATATTGTGCAGAGAAGACCCTCCAAATTTGTACAAAATTGAATCCATATTGGAATCAGACAAAATGGTGTTTAAACTGTTGGCTCTGGAAAATGATGGATTGTCCGTCAATTTGTATAAAAATAAAGAACAAATCGACGATCCAAAAATGGCCATACCATGCGGAAATATCACGGACATATTTCTTGGGTTAGGGCTTTGGGCTTTATATTGTGCAGAGAAGACTCTCTAATCTTGTCCAAAATTGAATCCATATTGGAATGAGACAAATGGTGTTTAAACTGTTGGCTCTGGAAAATTGTGTATTTTCCATCAATTTGTACAATTTATATAAAAAAAGAACCGATCGCCGGTCCAGAAAAATGACCATGCCTTGCGGAAATCTCCCGGATATATTTTTCGGTTAGGGCTTTGGGCTTTATATTGTGCAAAGAAGATCCTCCATTCTTGTACAAAATTGAATCCGCATTGGAATCAGAGAAATGTTGTTTGAACGTTCGGCTCAAGAATATGGTGTTTTTCTACGAAAATTAATACAATTTATGTACAGAAATAACAAATCCCTGGTCCATAAAGCGACAGTCTTACTTGGACCTCTTGCTGTTACTTTTTTTGCGGGAGAGCTTTGAACCTTATATTGCTGTGAAGAAGATCATCTAAACTGAAACTAAAGTCAACCGTGGAAACACCATTTTAGTGATTCCGTTTCGAATTAAAACTTTTATCACTTCGAAGTGTTTTCGTTACAGCAATAATTGGTACATAGCTCATGTCGCTATCAGTTATTCTACTTGTAATAGGGTTGGTAAGCGAACAGCATGGATCCTGATCAGACTGCGCGGATGCGCAGGCTGGTCTGGATCCATGCTGGTCGCAAACCCATTATGTTGGTTTTGTCGTGGCGCGGCTCATATTGTTTCGAATACCACATTTAAAATTAAGATTATGTTATTTGATTTCTACTGTGGAACATCTTCATGTGTTATCCTTCTTTTAATTAAATAAATATTTAAAAGATAGCAAACACAAGATATTTCGAAAGTGATTCATTTTAATATATGTTCAACAAAATAAATCATATAACTATAGGTACATTATCAATTTCTGATTTCATTTTCTATCATTTCGAACACCAAAACAAGCGAGAAAAGTGCAGAAGACATCAGTGAAAAATCCTTTCTTTGTTTTCTTCTTGTCTGTCAGCTTGTTTCTTGTATTGCCTTGAACAATTTTCTTACTGATTTGTCGAGTGCCAGTAGCTTGAGCCTTCGGGCAGTCATCCGTAATGCCAATATTGCCATGTTGAGTACATTTCACCTGGTCATCTGACGTCTGCTGTTTCGCGGGATGGCACTGGATGTCGTCTGCTTGTCGACTTTCTCTGTTCAACGTAAAAAATATAATAAAACGGTTATTACAAAATACACTTTCATGTAAATTATAACATAAAATACTAGTACTCAAGGCATAACTGTTTAAATAAATCATTCCCTTAAAAAGGACTACGTTCATTTCAATTGTACACATGAAAATTAATGGTTTATAGAAAAATCGATAAAATACAAATTTAAAGAAAGAACTTGATACCTTTTAAAATTTGGCTTTCGCAGAGAAAAAACATCTCCTGACACTTTTGTATTCTGCCGTTTAGAGGCAGGTTCTTTGGGAATTTCTGCATTATGTCTGTTCATATGTTGCATGTAGTCATAATGATCGTCAAGGTACATCTTCAACTCTGCAAAAAATTTACAACATATTTATAAAAGCTCCACTGAGGTCCAAAAAACCTACAACATAAAATTTGAATATCTTACATCTATGGATCACGCCTCCCTTAACAGTTTAATGAATACACACACGTTAATTAAGAAAATGAAGTACATGTATAGTGGAACATTCGACCGATGCGCATGAGAGTATCTATACATCATCTTGGGCACTTTACATTATCAGGTGGTAAGTTTTCGGATTAGATGAATTCATAATTATTATCAAATTTTCAAACTTTGTGAAACGATCAGGAGTACTTATTCACATTTGCATTGCATCCTTCAAACGAAAGATGGTGTTGACAACGTATTGTTTATTTTGAAACATTTCTATAACGGCATGAAAATATATAAATCATCAGATAATAAGTTTTCAATTACTAACCAAATGCAGAGTCATTTCTTTTTTCAGCTCTTGAACTATTACGGTTGGCTGTGCGTCTTTTGCGCTGACCAACTTGACAATGTTTTTGTGGCATTGACTTCCTCTGACCTTGTGGTGGTAAAGCGCTCTTACTTCGCCTTTTCTTCTGTGAGGTCTTATCATCAGTTGCTATTATAAGGGAAAAAGAATATTATTTTCAAAGGAATCACATGATGATGCAACACCCCTCTCCCCTACCTGTCCCCCACCCCCTCCCGATGAAACGAAGTATGGCGGAAAGCGCCGAATCATTACGATTAACATTAGTTAAAGTTACCACGTGAAAACCCTAAAGCATGCTATGATATATCGGTTTTGCTTTACAAACAGTAAATTGTACTTGCGTAGCATTTGACATGATGAAATTACACTGTTATCAACTGTAAACAGACCTGGGTCCAAGTGATAGTTAAGCATTCAAAATATAGTTTTCAGAGCTACAAATATCACTGTCTCTGATTCATGCATGAAAATGAACAAAAATATCATTTAAAAGTTATAAGAATTATTTCAAAACTTACCTTTTCTGTGCTTTGACGACTTTCTTTGGGAATCGTGTCCTCTATGTGTGCCACATATAGACCTTGCCCTTTTTGACGAACAAACTTTGTTCATTCTTGAGTGAGCTTTGTAGTCGTTCCTTGATAATTTGTTCATAATTCACTGTAACAAGAGATTTTTACTCAATTATTGTGATCACAACAAATTAATTTGTTCAACAGATTCGATTCAATAGAAATATTATCTATAAATGACAACTGAAAGCACATTTTCTCTCTTCTTTTCCGAATGGAAAGGATTTTGAATAGAATCTGAATCCTACTTAGGTTACCATCATAGACATATATAATTACAACAGTACTGGATAGCTTAAGGAAGCGGGATTTAAAGTGTGCAAGATTTTAACGAGAAGGAGCTAAATAATTATGATTCTTTCCATTAAATTATAAGTTTTATATTATTTTTTATCTATTAACTGATCACGAAATTTTTTGAAAGACGTTTCAATAAGGTTATTGTCAATTTGTAAATTAAAACAAAAAATATATGTTTACATACCGTGATGCGTTGTTATCAAATGCTGCGGAACGTCGTATCTATGAAATGTTACGTCAGACAATATAATGACGTCATGATAACGTTAACTATTGTCGTGGCAAATGACAGTCGGATAAAGAAATCAAAGGAGATCAGCATGGACCATATGTTAATCTGATATAATAGTATGCATTATCAAAGTATTAAAGAAATGCAAAGCGATTTTCTTACCACATTTTAAGTTCTAGCTGTTTTATTCCATAGAAAGTTTCCTATATCTATGACATGGAGGTCCCGATATATAATGCCTACGGGCTTATGATTGATATACGTGTTCCTCTATGAATTTGTTGATATAAATGATGACTGTCGTTGACGACTGATCTTTAATAGTACTGTGCTGATCATTTCAAAAACGCCTGAAATTATTCTCGTGTTTTTCCGTAACATACTTTTATAAAAATCAAAGCACAGAAGGAGCTGAATTTGTTTGGGTCTCAGAATGTCAGAAAGGTGAAGGTTGTGAGATTATTTGTATAGTGCCACCAATGCTTTCCAGCGTTTTAATTGTAGTAGATTGGCTATAAGACTAATTGCAACACTGATATTCGATCCAATGTTTATTTAACTTAAACAATTTGAAAAAAAAAATGAGTTGCCTTAAGTGGGATTTGAACTCCAGAAGCGAGCGCACATACCCCTCGGCCACGGTGAATTTACATACAAACGGTCTGAAGAAAACCATATTATTCTAAATGTAGTTACGGTTTGTAACGACGCTAACTGTTGTTTAATAATCATGGCGCTTAATATAAGCATGTATATCTATAAAGAATAAAACAATATTAGTAATCTTCGACTATTCGGGAATTATTATGCTTGAAAATTAATCCGCCTGTCACGTGACCATATCTACGCAGTGATCTCCCCTAAATTTTTCGGCCTAAGTGTTACATATAAAGGGAAGTAACCGCTTCAAAAAAGCGGACTTCTTTCGGCACTTGCAATTAAGCATTAGAGTCTGAAATTTCGCTACCATTATTTGTTTGGTCTGACGACCCAAACAAATAAAAACCCACGAGCTCCAAAAATGATATATTTTACTTCTTGGATAAAAATTGATGCATTGCTGAATTATTCCGTGCGCTCATATCATTATAATAATGGCAGTTGTGAATAAAGCAAACAAACAATTTTAAATGAATGCATAACAATTTAGAACATTTTCATGAAAAAAACTAATAATTATTAAGTGTTATTTATCAAAGATTGTTCACATAAGGTTTTTATGACGGGACTGGAAATAATTTCCCGAGATTAAATTAATATAAATTTTCCATTTGATGTAAGTCTAGACTGGTAACTTTCGTGCAAAAATGTCAGATATCCTTCGCTAACTAAGTTTTTCCAGGACAATTATTATTGTGAAACAGTAGACATTTCGTTAAACTTTCGGTTTCTACAACCACGGTAACGAGTATATATAAATAATGTAATTTTTACTTTTATATTTATGAAGTTTCTTAATTTAGATGGACTTTCACTAGATATTATTATATAAACTTAGTGAACAACTCCCGACATTAAAGTACTATTTGTTTACACGTTTAGTTTCTTAGCGTAGGTTAGACTGAAATACTGTGTCCGTTCTGTGTATTCTCACTATTGTGTTTGAGGTTTGACGGAAAGAGCCGTGAAGTTGCGATTGAGTTCAAAGAGGGAATGGACCCTCTGTTAAATATGACTGACTTTCAAGCAAAGGTTGGTTTGTTCAAACCCTGGTGATGTGATGATCAATTTGTCCAGTTAATATATCACCAGAACTGATTTTATGGATTTGTCAAGTAAGATATTCAAATAAAACATAAAAGAAAAAAATGAAGAAATTTGAAAAACGAATAACTTTATTTTACAAAATATATTATAAAATCTTTACAAAATATATTATAAAATCAAAACACAAAATAAGTATATTGGCATTTTCTGATTTCATTTTCTATCATTTCTAATACCAAAACAAGCGAGGACCCTGCGAAATACATTGGTGAAAAATCCTTTCTTTGTTTTCTTCTTTTCTTTCAACTCATTTCTTATATCATCTTGGAGTAGCTTCTCACTGACTTGCTGAGTGCTAGTAGGTTGTGACTTTGGGCAGATACTTGAAATGCTCATGTCTAAGTTACCATGTTGAGTAGATTTCACAGTTTGGCCATCTAACGTCTGCTGTTTCGCGGAGTGGCAATGGATTTCGTCTGCTTCTCGATTGTCCCTATTCAATGAAACAATGTTGTAAGTGCTTGAACAAGTTGCATCGTAACTTATGACATAATAAATATTTAAGAAACTTTTAGCATATTTTCCCCCACAGAATAGTTGTCTTAAATATATAAACGGAAATCAATTGTTTACAATAAAAGTGTAACAGCCATAAAATAAAAATTGAAAGAAATAATTAGATACCTTTTTAAATCTGGATTTTTCAGACAAAAAACATCTTCTGAAACTTTTGTACTCTGCCGTTCAGAAGTGGGATCTTTGGGAATGTCTACATCATTTCTGTTTGTATCTTGCATGTAGTCATAATATTCATCCAGGTACATCTTCAACTCTGGAAGAAACAAAGGATATTTAAAGAAGAGACCCCTATGGTTCAAGACTCTAAACATAAAACTTAAAAAAAATCTTACATCTATCTTTAGATCAACTGGGACACTTCATACCGATAATATTAAAAAGATTAGAAAAAAAATGTACTCAGAAGTATACTTAAATTGATATTTAGTGCGATTTTAGACGGATTTGAGCTTAAAGCATTTATAAATACCCTTTCCATTTTTAGGTCACTTTGCACAACAAAAACGATTATTCTGGAAAAACAGGGTGAGCGAAAGATCTTGCACACAAAGTTATAAATATTTTCATCTAATATATAGTATAAAATTTAATCTTGAAAATATATTTCCAGTATCAATATGTCAAAAGAAAAATCCTCAATGGAGTCCAAATAAAGCAAAGTGTTACTCTGTGTGTGGTTATACTAAATATCTAAAAATATTTCATGCAATAAAGTAAATTAAAGTATAAAAGTATTCCATATATCCTTTTCCTTTTGTAGAGCAGATAAAATCATAAATATTATTAATCTTATTTACATTTGCATTTCATCTTTTACATGTCAGCGTATTTTAAAACATTTGTATAACGGTATGAATAGAATATCAATTATCAGATAATAAGTTCCAATTACTTACCAAATGCAGAGTCCTTTCTTCTTTCAGTTCTGGAACTATTATGTCCTGTTGCACGTCTTTTGCGCTGACCAACTTGACTCTGTTTTTTGTGGCATCGACCTCCCTTTTTTTCCGAAACTTTGTGGTGGTAAAGCGCTCTTACTTCGCCTTTTTCTTCTGTGAGGTCTTATCCTCAACTGCTCATATAAAAGGAAAAAGAAGAATAATATAATTTTCAAGCGAACAGCTTGATGATGGCAGTTCTCCATTCTGAAACACCTTCCGCGTGAAACGAAATAAGGCGAAAATTTTCCTAATAATACGCATTGACAATAGTTAAAGTTATTACGTGGAAAAACTTCAAACAAAAATATCATTTGAATATTCAAAAATTTTACCTTTACTTGCGATTAGTCGGCTGTCTGCCGGAAATCATGTCCTCCATGTGTGCCACATATAGACCTTGCCCTTTTTTGATGAACAAACTTTGTCCATTTCTGAGTGAGTTTTGTAGTCGTTTCTTGATAATCTGTTCATAAATTCACTGTCACAAAAACATTTTATCTCACTTATTGTGCTCACAACAAATTAATTTGTTCAACACATAATCGATTAAATTGAAATTGTATTTAATTTTTAATGATACATTTTCTCCCTTTTATGACTATTGGCAGACCGGGGAACTCGGGGTTACAACCAGCTTTCTACATACAACATCTGTACAGGAGAATTCAAGGAAGACTCGAGAATGTAAACTTTTACCAAGGATGAGCTAAAATAGTTTTATAATATTTTGAATCTTACTAACTGAGTTTATAGTGACCATAAAATTCTATGAAAGAACATTTAAATATGGTTAGTAATTTAAAAAATAAAGTTGTTTGTTTGGTTTTACGGCGCACGAACGCACTACAGGTCATATGGTAATTAAAAAAATAATAAATATGTTTACATACCGTGATGTGTTGATATCTTATGTTGCCGAACGTCGTATCTATGAAAAATTACGTCAGAAAATCAAATTACGTCATACAACGTTATATAGCGACGTCATAAATAATACGTAGAATGGGTATGTTATTATCTATTATTCTAAATGGTTCTTAATCGTTAACTTTATGTCTTAGTTACATATCCAGATAAATATACATATAAAATTTACAACTCTGATATACAAATATTTCAGTTTTTGTGAAGTTATGTATCCGACTCTGTCGATGAAATGTTTGAACAACGTACATTGTTGAACAAGTTGGAAAGATTATGGAAAATACGCTCAACATCAGGGTCTTTCTTCCAGACGTCATTTGACATAAACGAGTCACATTAGATAATACATGTACTTAGTTGAGCTGTACCCTCTACAATTTAATCCTTCTCATTGATGACGACAGTATCTGTTCCCTGGTAGTTTTCTAAATAAAGGTTTCCGGATGTTATCTCTTGCACTATTACTCACAGATGCATGCCAATGAGGCACCATCTGCTGCTGTTGTTGTCATTGCAGGAATTCCCATAATGCAAGACACATAACGTTTCAGAAAAAAAGTGGACTGGCGAAATATTTAAAGTAAAAAAAATCGTTTCAAACGAAACAATTTAATTTATTTACATATATCAGGGTGTTCACTAGCCATGAAATCCTGTGGTCATTTTGACTAAGTTTTACCGACTACAAGGCCAAATCCCCGTGATTTTAACAAAATTTGACCCTCCAGTTAAAATTCTGGGGGTCAAATTAGGCCTTTTGGAAATTTGAAGGGCAAATAGAGTCATTTAAAGGGTCAAACGGACACCCTGAATTATACGCACAATATAAGTCGACTTAGTTTAGTTCAAACATTTTTACGAGGGGCATATTTCAATTAGTGGCAACGGCAGCAGTGTTTATAAATAAACGTACACAACTCTTTTAACGCTCCTGCTACGTCGGGCAACAACTGGGTGATCGCTGTTTTCACCTACTCGCATTTTATTACCGAGTTTATTGTCAGGCTCAAAAAATTATCCCTTGTGACATTTTCTCTCAGGCTTCTAGGGCCTCGATCCTTGAAACAAGTCAATAAGACCCTCTTATGGTCAGAAGTTAGCAAATGCGGGATCTAACGGGCGAAGTTTCCTTAACTGTACTATCAAGATGGAAAACACATATGACGCACTAATTAAGGCCAGATATGTCACTTATCTCCTACGGTATATCTGGCTTTGACATTGGCGATGTCAGAAGTAGCGGAAATTGGTGGCTAAGCGCGGGGATCATCCTTAACTTTAGTTCTACCTTACACTCACCTGGCAATTATACGATCTGGAAGGGCATTTTCTCCGTTTTTATTTCTTTTGCGCATTTACCTAATAACCCATGAAGTTTGCAATAAGCTCTTTGCTCCTCTCTCAAATCACAATGCAACTCGGCCATGTTTACAACGCATATACGTTAAATGACCTGCTAAAATTTTATTGCACGTGTAAATCGTGCGAAAATAGACTGTTGGTTAGAAAAATCAATAATCCTCCAACGGTATATTATACATGTACTTTCACGTGCAAATCAATGTTAAATCGAGTTGTTGACAATAATTAAAATTTGCCACTCGTACGTAAGCAAGTTCTTATTACTTATATTAATAACTTTCTAGTCCGCTTCCTGGAATAACCAGTACTGTTGTAATATGAAGAAACAAGGTGGTGGCTCAAGTAAGGCCCGATCCTTTGATCCCTGGTTTGAGAGCCAGACACCTTAATCATTAGGCATTGACGGTCAAGGTCATTTAAAAGTCAAGGTTACGTGAATTAATCAAGTCAGTTTTGTCTTAAGTGTTATTTTTGTGTAAGAAACGAACCCATGAATAAATATAACTAGAAATGTGTCCAAAGGACACGGATGCCCCCACACGCCACTGTTCTGTCAATCTTATGACTCTAGGTCAAATATTTTTTGGACTACATGTGCCACAAGTTGAAAACTAAAAATCAACAAAGGGCCATAATTCTGTTAAATTTGGTCGCAGCAAAAATTCCTTCCTTTAATACCATCTACACATTAAGGTTGTTCATCCCGGGAAGTTTAAGCAAAATCTGCCATCCGGTTTAAGAGGAGTTGCGTTCACTAAAATTTCTACATAGTATATAGT